GTTCCAGTAGGAAAATTTAGAATAATTGTACGAACAAATTCTACCTATAATCATAATTCATATGATGTATACATTTGTGATGACTCTCATAAATCTGATTCACGTCACACTCCTCCACCAACCACTCTGCAAAGAAAATTGGAGATAGAAACAAGGTTTACTCAGAAGAATTTTTGGCTTGATTGGGTTCGAAATGCAACAGAGTAGGCGTCAGTTCACGCCTTGTGTGTTGTGTGTGCTGGACCCCGTCCTGCCCTGTTAACTGTACCTTCTCTCCTCTCAGATCCAAAACACACACACTGCATGCTTGAGCTGCACATGACTGAAAATCCAAAAACACCTGCATGCAGAGAATTGGAATATTATTACCCATTGGCACCTAAAGACACCGTTCCTCCTATTTTTACTGCAGTCAAAGAAAACAACTACACATGTGTAACTAAAATTAATGACACTGGAACTAATGTAAATACCATCTCTCCTGATTGGTGTGACATCACACATAATCTTACAACCTGGTCAAATGCTACACGTCTGACCTATGCCAGCCTGTCTCCACTAAACTAATACAATAAATATCTAATCAATATCTATCTGACTAAGAAATTACCTAACAATACTGTGCACCATAAAATCATTCTTGACAGAATGGAAAAGTGGGTGGAATCATCAGGTTCAGTCCTCGGTTGGTTCAGGTCATGTCTCAGAGGCAGGGGCTGTGTAGTGTTCATTGGTGATCATAGATATGAGCAGATCATTCATAGTTGCGACATCACTGATAGCACTGAAGGCAGCGCTGGCTGGAATCAACCAGTACGCATGCTCCGACTATCCTCCACCGGGTGGCATGGTCCCACTCGCTGCAGAGGAAAACCTGTAGAAATCCGTCGTTACCGCATTTTTGTAGATCACATGTACAGTTTGAGTCGAGAATGAGAGGACGTTTTTAATGTAAGGGTTATCTGCTCGCACTCCTCCTTCCCCGGAGACTCTGTGGGTGGGGTGGTGGTTGGGGTACCTGAAGGAGGAGGGAATGGGGGTGGATGCAGCCTCATCAATAGCGGGTTTCCTGTGATGATCCAGCTCAAACTAGTTCTGCTTTACATATGCCACTGCGAGGTGCCACTCTATCACAAAGAACCGCAGGCTGAGAAGTAAAACACATTTCACATGCTCTCCAGGTTTCCGTGAAAATATTGATGCTAGTTTTATTAATCACAGTACGAAGGTCAAATGAAACATTCTGATGGACATTAGAGCAAGGCAGTGACTCGCTATAGTGGTGCTGTTTTGGAACAGTTTATAGGCTACGACTATAAACTTGGATCCGACTATATCCAGCTGCAGACTATAGCATTCTTAAATAAATTTTACTACCACTCTTTTTTCTTTTCTTTGACGAGTGGTGAAATAATTGACGTTAACTGTGTCAACTAAATCTCAGTTCCCCAGTTATTACATTAAAGCTGTCTAAATAAAAGCGCATATAAATGATGGCAACGCCTTTTTTCTGTGAAAGCCCAACGCTGTATAATAACAGTCAGGGGATAATTACAGGGAGTGTCGGAGAACAACAAAGGACCGGATCGAGCATCATCATAGTCATTTTCATCGCCACCTCCGCCACAGTCCTGCGTAAACCCGGTATTGTTGTCGCTGGTGCTCAATGTAGGGTGCAAGTCGCCGACAGATCAGGCTAATGGGAGGTTTCAGATGCGCATTAAAGCGAGATCAAATCTTTAGCAGTGATGTGTAACAGGCGCAGGGTGACAAAGCTGCAGTGCAGCAGAGCTGTGAGTCAACGGGCAGGGGAGCCTGGACAGTCCAGGGAGGCAGCAGTGTGCAGCCACTGCTCAGACTTCAGGGCGACTAACCAGCTGAATCTAAGGCTGTCATTTCAGTCTCGAATTAGGATAAAATGTATATATCTTTTATCAGATGTCTTTTCCATTACCTCATGGCAACAGTAGCATTTCATGTATGCAAAAACATTTAGGAGCTCTACTACTATATTCAGGTCAAATTCAGTTATCAAGTGAAATTATTCTTTTGGGTTAATAAACAATTTAAGGAGCTGCAGTCTCCCCCTCACTAGGATTTCTCCTGCTTAAGGCATCGCCCACGCTTTTCCTTGCGCCTATGTGCTGCGTATTGTAGCCACTGCATCAGAAACTGGGGATCTTCCTCGTTGTAGGACACTGTGAAGACTACCCTGCTTAGAAACAACCTCTCTACGCAATCTCACAATCAGACACCTCCTCATGGGCTCACATCCTCAAATACACACTTCGTCGGCACGCATAAATTTGTTCATATGCAGAAAGACCTAGTGTGTCTGTCTTTCTCCCCGCCCTCGTCCAGCGGCAACTAGCGGCGCATCGTTTCCACCAATCTGTGCATCGAAGGACCACCCGACCAACCCCTGAACCTGAATCTGCCCGCTCTGTCTGCTTATAAATACTGCTTGAATCACACCGGCAAGTCTTGGTCGTCAGAAACGCTCAGGGTTGCAGCAGAACATCCCCCTTCGTTTTATCCCCTTCATCATTTCTCCGTTTTTTAAGAAAATATCACGCATCCTCCACTTTCATTCTCACCCTCCCCCTTTTCAGAACTGTAGCTGTTTATTGTGGCCAGTTGCATGCATTTGTCGTCTCCCGAAATGGTTTGCGAGACTAAAATTGTTGCGGATGAACACGATGCAATACCTGGGACCAAAAAAGAGTCTCTCATGTGGAGCTCTCCTCAGTCCAGCGCGGCTCAGAACCCCGCTGCGGCCAAGGATGTTTGGAAAGATGGGGTTTTTATCCGTGAGTTCGAGCGCGGGGATCAAGAGGAGGTGCGCCGCATCTTTTACGAGGGTATTATGGAGAGGGTACCCAACTCGGCGTTTAGAAGGCTCAGACAGCAGCCCAAGACCCAGTTTTTATATGCTCTTCTGACAGGTAAGTATCCATTGCTTTGCACCAGGTAGCTGCACGTACCAGCTACCATAAAAGAGTTCAGACACACTTTTCTAATGACAGAAAAATAACTTCACTGAAATCTGATACTAATAATGTATGTAGTTGCTGTTTCTTTTGATGTTTTCATGCTAGTGAAATTCGTCTGAGGAACTTGTTTAAAAGGACACAAATATAATGTTTCTCTGCACTGTTCGGTCCAGTAGGCGACGCACAGTTGAGTTGAAGTCTGTTGCAACACTTCTGTGTTATCGCGGCCCTCTGTCCGCCGGCACACACCGGCATGTTGCTTATCATGCAACAAAAGGCATGGCCAGGCGCATGGTGCATGTGAATAAACAGCCGACCTGCTGATGATGTGATGACATACCGGTGCCGTGAATGAATGAGTGAATGAATTTGAGGATTGGCCCACAGGGTGCGCGCACGTACCCCAAAAAGCATTCCCCCGCGCCATCCCAACACATATTAAAATCATATGCGGCGCGCAAACCCCCCTCTCTGCCTCTGCATAGCCGATGGTGCCGGCTTAAAGCCTCATGTACCGAGACCGCTGCCGTTACGCACGTCAAAAATAAAATAAACCTTTGAATTCTCATAATATATACAGTTTTGAAATGAAAACGTAACCTACCGTGCCAATTTGGCATTCATTAGATTCATGTTGGATAATTGTATTCTATCTATCTACTGGAGCGAGAACCCACTGCCCTCTACGCACATTTAGGCGCCGCAGCTTCACACCACGATGGGGTGCAGTAGAGTTAACCGACCTAATGTGATTGCATGCCACGCAACAGCAAGCTTTGCAGCATCCAACCTGCTTGTCTGTGTTTTCCTTTGCTCCCCCCCAACGTGATACCCTACTAATTACTCCAATATGGACTGTACTGGTTTGAAGAATTCAATACCAGCATGTGCGCTACTGCAGCTAATGTGCATTACTTAAGCCAAATGAATGTTACTTTGCTGCCTTGTGTGAATCAAATCTTGATGTGTCTTTATCGAAGTTTTCATATTGGACCATTATAACAGAGTTTTATGTAACAGTTTCCCTTATTGATGCTTGCAAATGTCATATTTGCTCTGCTCTTTTTTCTGTGTCTCTGAGGGGTCAAATTCCATCAATCAAACATGTCATTCTCTTTTCTGACAGGTTTCGTTTATCTTTCTTCCATTTCTCCATAGTAATGTGCTTTTTTATGACCAAATCCTTCACGTTGACCTGCTGCACACCCCTCATTCTCATGGGTGTGCGCTACTACTACAGCAGGAAAGTTATCCACAGTTATCTGGACTGTGCTCTGCACACGGACATGGCTGACATAGAAGCTTATTACATGAAACCCACAGGTAAGACGCAGGACAAACCTCACTGTTCTCACTGTAGTGTGAATAATGACATCTTGCTTGTCATCTGGCAATGCTCCATCACCAGTGTTAAATTTGAAGAGTAGCTAAGAAGGAATCAAGATAAAGAAAAGGAATAAAACAATCGATCCATATTTTAAAAAGTTAAGACCCGTAACTTTACTAGAAAGGTATAGTCTTCAGACAACTCATCAAATACGCACGTTGCCTCTCCGTTTTCCCTTCTCCTCAGTAGTTCTTTCCCACCCCTCCTCCATGTCCCTTTCTCCACTACTACCCCCACATGCTTCCTCTCTGAGCAGGGGGCATGGCATTACAAGGCTATTAATCTCATGGAGGAAACTGCTGATACACTCTCTGCAGTGCACTTGGTGTCGGCATGGCTGATTTCCTCCACTAAAGCTTCTAATTGGAAAAGTCAATTCACCTCCACTGTCATCTGAAAGTATTTATTCTCTTCCCGAGTTTAGTTTGGGTTGTGAGTGACTGCCGACCGCAAACTTATGGCACATTTTCACTCGTTCCCCTGTGCTGTGCCTTCGTGGCCACATTTGTTCCCCATTAACTAAATCCACATGGCCAATATAAGAAGCATGTGTTAGTTAAGCCAGTCAATTGCCCAGCGCAGTCTCTTTGTCTCTGACATTGTAGCATCTGGCCTGGTGTGAGGTATTTTTAGTCAGATAGAAATTGGATAGATACTTTATGTATTAGAAATGTTTAGTGGAGATAGGATGTCTAGTTAGACTGTTAAATGCTTAGTCATGCTTATGAGTTTCTACAGGGTACATCTGGTCAAGGATAACTAGAGAGAAGAGTTGATGACTGTCAGCAGACAGGGTGTTAATATTATTATAATGACGTGTATAACTGTAGCCTTAGCCATAATATGTTCTTATGTTTAAGACACGACATGTTACTAGAGGTCGTGTGAGAATGTTTTTAG